ATTGGCTGCATAAGCTAAGAGGGGAGTAGAGAGGGGAGAGGGAGAGGGAGGAGGGGAGGCCAGCAGGCGGGCACATCAACAACCGCTCCAAGTACAACATGTAAAACGAGGGACGTATACATCACTTCATGCCACCCCAACACCAACTCCGCCGATCAGGCCAGGGCCAGGATTTGCCAGGCCAGACTGGCCTCCAGCTGCCAGACTGGCCTAGCTGCCAGACTGGCCTAGCTGCCAGGCCAATGAAGGCCAGGCCGGCCTATCCCAGGCCAGACGGCCAGCCGCCACCACCACGGGCCAGCCTCCGGCATACCCAGGCCAGGCCGGGCACAGCCGGGCCAGACTGGCTCATTCCAGCTGTAGCCAGTCAGCCGCCAGCCCCGGCCAGCCACAGCCTGGGCCCAAAGCCGGGCCAGGCCGCCCAGCCGGGTTAGACTGGCTTTAGCTGGGCCAGACTGGCTCATTTAGGCCAGGCTGGCTTCAGCTGCCAGGCCGGCCTAGCTTCGGGCCAGGCTGGCCTTAGCTGCCAGGCCGGCTCATTTGTGCTGTGACTGGCCTAGCTGGGCCAGGCCGGTTTAGCTGCCAGCTGGCTTGAAGGCTGTGCTCGGCTCAGCTGCCAGGCTGGCTCAGTTGCCAGGCTGGCCTATTTTGTGCCAGGCTGCTTAGCTGGGCTAGCTGGCAGTTGCCAGGCTGGGCTTAGCTGCCAGGCCTGGCTTCAGTTGTGTTGTGCCTAGCTCTAGCTGCTGTGCTGGGCTTGTTGCCAGGCTTCGCCTCAGCCGCCAGCCTGGCCTAGCTGGGCCAGGCCGGCCTAGCCAAAATTTGTGACTGGCTCTCAGCCAGGCCAGCTGGCTCAGCTGCCAGGCTGCCTCATCTGTGCCAGGCCGGCTTTAGCTGCCAGGCTGGCACAGCTGCCAGGCGGCGACCGCAGGCCAGCCTGGGTTTGCCGTCAGCCGGCCACAGCCGGGCCACCAGGCCACTAAACAAACAGACTGGCCCAAATGGGCCAGGCCTGGCCTAGCCGGGCCAGGCCGGCCTGCTCATTTGCGGCCAGGCCGGCCTCAGCCGCCAGGCCGGCCTACTTCCAGGCCAGCCCCGCGCCAGCCGCCAGCCTGGCCTTAGCCAGCCAGGCCGGCTCAGCTGGGCCAGGCTCGGCCTCAGCTCGCCAGCTCGGCCTAGCCGTGTGCCCAGCCCAGCCGCCAGGCCGGCCTCAGCTGCCAGGCCGGGCCTCATCGGTGCCAGCCGGCTCAGCTGCCAGGCCAGCCCCAGCCGGGCCAGGCCGGCCTCAGCCGCCAGGCCGGCCTCAGCCGGGCCAGGCCGGCCTCCAGCTGCCAGGCCGGCCTAGCCAGCCGTGTGCCTGCCTAGCCATGCTAGGCTGGCCTATTTGTGGCCAGGCTGGCTTCAGCTGCCAGGCTGCTTCTAGCTGGGCGCCAGTTTAGCTGCTGTGCTGGCTTCAGCTGCCAGGCTGGCCTAGCTGCCAGCTGGCTTCAGCTGCCAGGAAGCTGGTTTGCTGCTAGCTGGCTTGAAGGCTGTGCTGGCTTTCAGCTGCCAGCTGGGCTGCCAAGCAGGCTGCAGCTGTGCTGTGCTGGCTAGCCAAGCAGTGCTGGCTTAGCTGCCAGCTGGGTTTTAGCTGCCAGGCTGGGTTTTAGCGGGGTTAGGTTGGTTAGTTGCTAGGTTGGTTTAGTTGGGTTAGTTGGTTTAGTTGGGTTAGGTTAGGCTGCAGGAGCCATGTTAAGAACATAAGAACATAAGAATGGAGGAAACTGCAGGAGCCACTGGGCCCATACTAGCAATCTCCTATCGCTCATATATATCCGTCCAACCTATGTTTGAAGTCATCCAGCGTGTTCGAGTCAATGATGATATTTGGTAACTTGTTCCACTCCATCCACTACTCTATTTCCAAACCAGTTTACTCATCTCGAGCCTAAATCTAACTATGTCTAATTTAAAACCATTGCACGAGTTCGCTCCTGGTTGATAGTTCGAGTACCTGTTATATCACCTTGTTTAGCCTCTGACTTCCATTTATACACCTTCTATCATATCGCTCTCTCTACGTCTCGGAGTGCAAATTAAGATGCTTTAACTTGCCTCTGTACTCAAGGTTCCTGATGCCCGGATTAGTCTTCTATCATACTTCTATACTCTTTTCTAGGGATTCTATATCCATTCTGTAGTACAGTACCAGAACTGAACTGCATAATCAAAGTGAGGTCCACACGTGCAAGATATAGTTTTAGGATGACCTCGCTAGTCTTGTAACTACCCTCTTTGTATGAACCCAAGTACTTTGTTAGCCTTGTTTCGAGCAAATAAGCATTATTGTCTTGGTTTAGATTCCTACTAATCATTACTCCCAAAAACTTTCTCACAGTCGGATTTTCATAACATCGTTGTTCATCTGATGTCTGATTTATTTACATCTTCTAGGCGAAGTACTTTTACATTTGTTCGCCTTTTAAATTTCATCTGCCATTTTTTCTGTGACCTCGTCAGATTTAATCACACGCCCTATTCTAGTGTCATCAGCAATTTATTTAGTTGCTGTCTAGGCCTATATATTTATATTGTTAATATACATAAAAAATACTAATGGTCCAAGTACTGGTAGCCTTTGGGGTACTCCACTAGTGACATATCCCAATGGGATTTAGTGCCATTAATGCTACTTCGCTAGTTTCCTGCCCTGTAACCACACCCTAATCCATTTTAGAATATCTCCAATTTGTTTCCACTTTACGTCTTAGTCTTGCAAAATCGACATATACCACATTATAACAGTGTCCGTCATCCACTGATTCGATAACAGTTAAAAAGAATGATAATATTTGTCATATATGGCTGACCACTTGTTTGGTTAGGGTTATAGGAACTAGGTCACGGTCATGTTAACGAAAATAAACAGTACAAAACATTTAGAAGAGTAAACGCAAATTAGTAACAATTTATTGATAAAAATACTAGGATGTGAGTTTTTTAGCAATGAACTGAGAGAGAGAGAGAGAGAGAGAGAGAGAGAGAGAGGGGGGTCGATCAGCTGTTCCAACTCAAATTAATCACGGTACGAGCGGTAATCATAATGAGCAGTTATGGACCCCACTACCAATTAATTCGACAAACTATAATTTAACCTGACCCACCAGGTGAGAATTGACCAAAACGTTAACTACTAATATTAAGCCACGCCACGAGATATCTTTGTTAACTCCTACCTTTACCTCCACCCCTACCTCCTGCCTTTACCTCCTACCTTACCTCCTCCCTTTACCTCCACCCTTACCCACCCTTACTCCCACCTTACCTCCCACTCACCTCCCGCCTTACCTCCCACTCTACCTCCTGCCTTTACCCTCCTACCTTACCTCCTCCCTTACCTCCCACCTTACCTCCCACCTTTACCTCCTGCCTTACCTCCACCCCACCTCCTACCTTTACCTCCTGCCTTACCTCCTGCCTTTACCTCCTACCTTTTACCTCCCGCCTTTTTGCCTCCTGCTTTTTTACCTCCTACCTTACCTCCTGCCTTTACCTCCTGCCTCCTACCTTTCTCCTCACGCCTTTACTCCTGGCTTTACCTCCTACCTTTACCTCCTGTCTTTACCTCCCACCTTTACTTCCTCCTGCCTTTACCCTACCTTACTCCTGCCTTTAATACCTCCTGCCTTTCCTACCTTTACCTCCTACCTTTTCTTCCTCCCTTTTACCTCCTACCTTACCTCCTGCCTTTTCCTCCTGCCTTTACCTCCACACTTTACCTCCTGCCTTACCTCCTGCCTTTAACTCCACCTTACCTCCCACCTTTACCTCCACCCTTTTTTTTTTTTTTTCTCTTCCACCCTTTTTTCCTTTTGTACCTCCTGCCTTACCTCCTACCTTACTCCACCCTTTCCTCCTGCCTTTACTCCACCCTTACCTCCCTGCCTTACTCCCCTACCTTACTCCCACCTTTTATCTCCTGCCTTTACCTCCTGCTTTACCTCCTACCTTTACCTCCTGCCTTTACCTCCACCTCACTTACCTCCTGCCTTTACCTCCACCCTTACCTACCTTTACCTCCACCCTTACCTTCCACCCTTACCTCCTTGGTTTTACCTCCTGCCTTTACTCTACCTTACTGCCACCATTTACCTCCTACCTACCTCCTACCTTTACCTCCACCCTTTACCTCCCTACCTTACCTCCTACCACTCTCAACCCTTACCTCCTGCCTTACCTCCTGCCTTTACCTCCTACCTTTACCTCCACCCTTTACCTCCTGCCTTTTACTCTCCTGCCTTACCTCCAACTTAACTCCTGCCTTTACCTTCCTGGGTCTTTACCTCCTGAATTTTACCTCCTGGGCCTTTACTCCCACCTTACCTCCTGCCTTACTTCCACCTTACTCCTGGGCTTTTACCTCCTACCTTACTCTGCCTTTACCTCCTACCTTTACCTCCTACCTTTACCTCCTGCCTACCTCCTGCCTTTTACCTCCTACCTTACCTCCTGCCTTACCTCCACCCTTACTCCTGCCTTTACCTCCTACCTTTACCTCAACCCTCTACCTCTGCCTTTACCTCCACCCCCTACCTCCTGCCTTTACCTCCTACCTTACCCACCCTTACCTCCCTGCCTCCTGCACCCCCACCTCCTGCCTCTACCTCCTGCTCTTACCTCCACCCTTACCTCCCACCTTTACCTCCACCCTTCCTCCCACCTACTCTCAACCTGTTACCTCCTGCCTTTACCTCCTACCTTACCTCCTGCCTTTACCTCCCACCTTACCTCCACCTTACCTCCTGCCTTTACCTCCTGCCTTACCTCCACCCTTACCTCCTGCCTTTGCCTCTACCCCTTTACCTCCTGCCTTTATCTCCTACCTTACCTCCCAGCTCTTGCCTCCACCTTACCTCCTGCCTACTGCACCTCTTACCTCCTGCCTTACCTCCTGCCCTTTTACCTCCACCCTTACCTCCTGCCTTTACCTCCTGCCTTACCTCCTGCCTTTACCTCCCAGCCTTACTTCCACCTTTGCCTCCACCCTACCTCCTACCTTTACCTCCCGCTCTACCTCCTACCTTCACCTTCCTGCCTTTACTCCTACCTACCTCCTGCCTCACTCTCCTGCCTTTACTCTCCTGCCTTTTTGCCTCCTTCCTTACCTCCTGCCTTTACCTCCTACCTACCTGGCCTTACCTCCTACCTCCTGCCTTGCCCCTACCTCCCAAGCCTTACCTCCTACTTCCTCCTGCCTTTACCTCCTACCTTACTTTCCTACCTTTACACCTCCTGCCTTTACCTCCTGCTTTACCTCCACCCTTTACTCCTCCTACCTTTACCTCCACCCTTGCCTCCTACCTTTACCTCCTGCCTTTACCTCCTACCTTTTACCTCCTGCCTACCTCCCACCTTTACCTCCACCTTACCTCTTGGCCCTTACCTCCACCCTCTACCACCCCTTTACCTCCTACCTTTACCTCCTACCTTTACCTCCTACTCTCCTGCCTTTACCTCCTACCTTCCTCCTGCCTTACCTCCTACCTACCCACCCTACCTGCCTTGACCTCCTACCTTGCCTCCACCCTTTACCTCCTACCTTGACCTCCTACCTTTACCTCCACCCTTTACCTTCACCCTTAATACCTCCTACCTTGACCTCGTACCTTTACCTCCTACCTTTACCTCCACCCTTACCTCCGCTACCCTACCTTTTACCTCCTGCCTTTACCTCTGCCTTTACCTCCTACTCTTTACCTCCTACCTTACCTCTACCTTTACCTCCTACCTTGACCTCCTACTACCTCTACCTTTACCTCCACCCCACTTCCTACCTTACCTCCTACTCACTCCACCCTACCTCCTGCCTTACCTCTACCTTACCTCCTACCTCTACCTCCCCCTTTGCCCTCACCTACCTCCACCCTTTTTACCTCCTTTACCTCTGCCTTTACCTCCTGCCTTACCTCCTCCACCTCCACCCTTACCTCCTGCACTCCTACCTTACTCCTACTACCTGCTGCTACCTCCTCCACCCTTTTTACCTCCACTTACTCCACCTTTACCTCCTGCCTTTACCTCCACCCTTACCTCCACCATTACCTCCACCTCTTTACCTCCTGCCTACCACTCTACCTCCTGCCTTTGCCTCCACCTTACCTCCTGCCTTTACCTCCACCCTTTACCTTCTTCCTCCACCCTACCTCCCGCCTACCTCCTGCCTTTACCTCCTACCTTTTACCTCCTGCCTTACCTCCTGCCTTACCTCCCTGCCTTACCTCCTGCCTTTACTCTCCTACCCTTTTACCTCCTACCTTTACCTCCTGCCTTACCCCTGCCTTTACCTCCCACCTTCACCGCCTTACTCTCCTACCTTACCTCCTGCCTTTACCTCTGCCTTTACCTCCCTGCCTACCTCCTTCCTTACCTCCTGCCTTTACCTCCCTACCTTTACCTCCAG